TAAAACTATTTATAGTGATTTATTTAATATCTGTAATTTATCCTCATATCCTCCCCTTATTCCTTATCTACCCTTATAGATCCAAAATACCTTTTCTGATCCTATATGTAACTTAGTGCACTTATTGCATTTCGTGCATTTTTCATGTGATCGGTCACGGTATTCGGTATCACAATTCCTGGCATCACAGTAGCCTTGAAGATCATGAGAGTCCCTAAATCGGCAAGTCTGGCGCTAATCGAAGGTTGGCCTCATGTAATGATCGGATGAGTGCTTTATCATCTGTAGGTAAGTACTGGTCTCTTCTTCTTCTCTTGAGTCTTTCCTACTTTCTTTTACTAATTCTTTTTTTTTCTTATTTTCTTGTCTCATCCGGGATTTCACTATGTTGAATCGAGGTCAGGACTCTTCTATTACTATGATGGCTTTACGGTCATGTGACTTGCATCAAACGATCAACGGCGGAATTGACTTATTCTTTAGGGCAGACGGGTTCTATTTAACAATGATCACTAGGGTCTTACAAGACAATACTTGCACTCTTATTAAGGTTGGGTAAGTAGTTTATACTTTGCAATCGTAGTTACTTTACTGTTCGTTTATTATTTCTACTTAAATCCTATCTAAAAATTTGTTATTACATTTCCCTTCTGCTTAGGTCATGCGTACTATGCTTGACCTTCTTCAGTCAGCTGTTGAAGTTCGTGCAACTTCAATTTTCGCAGGTCCCCAAACTCTAACTTAGTCGTTCGATAGATCTGTTCGAGGCTATACTTTAAAAATACATCATAGGTATGGATGGCAGAGGTATAGTAGTGCCTTTTCACCATATCTCGGAATTGACTTTGTTGCTGCCGGGTGCCATTTGCGTATAGCATTCCCAAGTAATAGCCGTACACCAACGAGGTTATACACTGTTTCAACCTCAAGCTTCTCTGGAGGTGATTCATTGTCAAGGTTACACTTCCAGGGTAGTCGTGGGTCTTCATAAAGGGTGGGGATGCTGGATTGACATCAATTGTGTACAGATAAGTGACGTCGTCTAAGATTTCTTCTAACGTGATCGGAGTTCTACTCATTGTTTTGTATTTAAGCGAATTTGTTTCGATAGATCTTACAAATTCTTTTTACTCTTTTTACTTATCCCCTTTTTATAAAAAATATTATTATTATTATTTTTTTTTTTATATACTAATACTTTCGTCAGTTTTGGAAATTTTATTTTCTATACTTTTTGATCCTTATTTCCTATTCGGACTGTTCGTAATACTCCTTCAACAGTGTAATGTTGAACGGTGTTGTGAGAACCTTTTCTTCTATGATGCGTAATTTGTATACATCCTTGTTTAGTATCTGATGGACGTAAAATGGTCCATCCTATTTTGGCTCTAACTTCACACTTCTGTTATACTTTTTTGAAGCGCGGTACAGCAAACCTTATCGGCGATGGACAATTCGGGTGGCAAACAGGCATTTCAGTCATACCGTTCTTTTTGTTTTCTTTGAGCACATTGAACTTCCAACACAGCCTCATGATGTGCTATTGGTAGGTCTTCTAACAATTGGAACATTCTTTGTATTATTGTTCCTTCTAACAAATCATTGGATTCAATTGGTAAACGGGCTTCTCTTCCATGCATCAAGAAGAATGGCATGACTTTGGTTGTTGCATGCTTGGCTGTATGGTATGCAAATAATACTGCAGGTACAACAAGGTCCCAGTCACTAACGTCCTCTATTGACCTTGCGATAGATTCACACAAGGTCTTATTGTATCATTCCACCAACCTGTTGGTCTGTGTGTGGTATGATGTCGATAGCAGGTGCTTGATCTTGAACTTTTCTTGCAACCTATTGACAAGTTGATTCCTAAAGTGGGTGCCGCGATCTGATATCAGCTTGAGGGGGCATTCATGCCTGCACACGATATCTTCAAAGATGAAGTCTGCCATACTTTGAGCATCAGGGTCGAAATCGCCCTAGCTTCTGGCTATTTCGTTATATAGTTGGTTGCTACGACTATATACTGTGAATTTCATGGAGTAATTGGGAGTGGGCCTACGATATCGATCTCCACTTTGTAGAATGGTGCTGTCACAGGTATAGGTTGCAAAGGTCTTGTATATTTATTTTTTCACCTCTTTATTTTTTTAGTCTATTAAGTACTTCTAGTTTTATTATTTTAAACCCTCTGCTTTTTTTCTCTTGCTTAATAAGTCTTGGTAATTTTTTAACTGTTACTATATAATTAACTTTTTTTTTCTTGTATTAAGCAGCTAATTTAAGTATATTAGATCTGCTTTTCTTTCATAATCATATATTTATAAGTTCTTTTACTTTGATCTTATACTCAAACATTGTCTATAAATTCACATCTATTTTTATATTTATATTAATCTTTTGCTTTTAGTATTGTTAGATAGACTAAGTTAGTCTTTCAATCTTCTATATTTTTTAGCATCTCTTTCATTTTTTATATATTTTCTGTTAAACCTGTTCTCTGGCAGCCTTGTCTTATTCTTAATTTTGTTAGCTGTTCAAGACTGTTTTGTCTATTTAATCTTGCTAACAAGTCACTTATTTGTTTTATTACTAGTTCTTGTTATAATGTTTTGCAGTTTTCAAGATCTTTATATTTTATTATACAGTTTTCTAATGTTTTTTATAGGCTGCTCTTTTTCTTTACCAAGCTTATTATTGGTTGATATATTTTGCTTATACTTCTTTTTGATATTTTTGTTAAGCATATAACCTAGTTTTGGAATTATTACTATATTGTTTATATATGCAAGTTTGATTTATTGTCATTTTTTTGTATCTGAGATCTCTTATTGTTTGGTTAATTATTCTTTTAGCTTTCTTTTTAACTAGCATTTTACTTATTCTATTGTTTAGCCATATTCCTAATGAATGAATTATCTTGTTCTTTGTTTTTTTTATTATCTTACTTTTTCTAAAGATTACTTTTTTTTCTTTTTTCTCTACTTTTGTGTTCATTACTAACAGCTTTGATTTGGATCTATTTATATCTATATTATTTATTCTAAAGAATTCTTTTGTTATTTTTAAAATCTCTATTAGCTATTCTTTACTGTTTGCAATTTATGTTGTATCATCTGTATATGCAATGACTACTTGATAGTACTTCATGATATTATTGATTTGTATGCATTTTTTACTTTGCTGTTTTACTATATAACCTAACTCTTCATCTTCTTGTATTCTCTCTAATAGTGGAACATAAAAGGGCTGCCATATTAATAAAGATATTACTTCATCTTAATCTATACTATCTCTTGCTGTTATTTCTTCTGTTAGGATATGAGTTGTAATAATCTTTAGTTGTCTTTTATAGAATAAGTTCAAGATGTATTTTATTGTTCTTTTAAGTACTTTGACTCTTTGTAGTGCTAATTCTAGACTCTCAAGTAGGATTGAATCAAATGCTTTTTTCATATCTTGCAGGAGTATTCATACTTCTTTACTCTTCTTTTTTGCTTTTTCTATTATCATATTAAGGATATATATTGGCTGTTTTGTTAATTTGCCTAGAAGGTCTGCATAATTTGGTTCTTTAAATATTTCTTTTTCTATAAACACTTTGGCAAGTCTTTTTGTTATTATTTTTGTTATGACTTTTCTAAAGGTCTCTATTAGTGCTATTGGTTAAATATTATTTAAACTATATTGGATACACTTATGCTATTTTCTACTTGGTCAGTATCTTCCTTACTCTTAGTCATAGGTCTGCAAAGTTTCAGAATTCTTTATATATTTTTTTTCTGCTTGTTTTATCAGAATATAACTTATACATGATATGCTTAGAGCTGTTTTTATCTTTAGTTTTCTTAAAACTTCTTCTTATTCTTTTTCTTTAATTTTTTTTTCAACTTCTGTATTTCATTCCTCTTTGATATTTTCTTGTAGTTTATATATTTTCTTCTATTCTTCTAACATCTCTTCTAATTTAGTATTTCTTTTTCTAAATTGCTTTTTGTAATGTTTTGCTACTCCTATTCTGACACTTTCTGGACTTGTTAGCAGTTTTATTTCTTCTTCCGCTTGTTTAATAAATCTGTCAAGTACTATTTTCTTATAGAGCCTATTTAGAAGACTAGCTATCATATTTCTTGGTCTGTTTTGATCATTTTACACCTTTTATTTATATTCACTTCTATTTGTTTTCTTTGTATTCATTTTTACTCTTTCTTTTTTCTTTCTAGTAATAGCTTCTTTCAACTCTTTATATCTTCTATCAATACACTTGACTATTGTTTTTGTAATCTTGATAATTTTGCATCAATTTTCTTGCCTAGTGTTCTTAGCTGTTTATTTATTTTACTCCTTTTTTCTTCTATTACTGTTTGGGTTTTTTTGTTTTTACATGTTTGATTAGCTTTTGAAGTCTAATAATGCTTTTTTCTTATTGCTGTTCTTTTTAAGTTCTTCTACTATTTGTTATTATGTTGTATACTTTTTCTTGTATATGTGTTTATTTGCTGATATAATAATTGTTTCTTCTATTATATTCCATATATTGTTTATTCTCTCTTCTTTCTTTTCTTTATTTTGTGTTTCTTTATAAATGTCTTTTAATACTTTTTTCTTTTCTAATCAATTTAATAATTCCTACACATAGTTTTCTCAGTCTTCTGACTTTACTTGGTCATACAAGTATACTGTTCTTGACTGTCTTTTCTTTTTAATCTCAGCTTTGCTTTTCTTTGCTATTATATGCTTAATTTATACCTTTGCTATTATTATTTTATGATCACTTTTTGTAATTTCTTCTGCTTTTACGATTTCTGCTTTTTGCAAATTTGAGATTAATCCTTCTAATATCTATATATAATTAATTCTTGTTACTGCTTCTCTATTTGACCACATATATTGTTGTCTTGTCAAATTTATATTTCTATATATGTCTCTAAAATCTTATTTTTTATTTAATTGAATATTGGTAGTCTTTTGTAATTTATTGTTTGTGAATATTGTCTGTTTACAATATTGTCCACTTTATGATTAAAATCACTTATTACAATAATTTGTATTTTTTTTTTTTTTTAAGACTGTTTCTACAATTTTTTGTTGAAAATTTCCTACTATCTTATTATTTGGTGATATATAGACTGTGATTACTATTAACTTCAATTGTTTAAAGTATAATATGATCTCTATCATATATTTACTTATTTTCTTAACTGCTCCTATATGTCTTTCCTACTGTTCATCAACTATAATTCTTATATCTGAACCTTTCTTTTTATCCTCTGCTGCATTTGTCCAAAAACCTCTATATCTTCTGCCTATTGTATATGTTAGAAACTTCTTTTTTCTTTCTGTAAAATTTATCTCTATAATTCTTATTATTGCAAATTTTTTTTTCTGCTCAGCTAAGCTGATTTCCAATTTTCAACCTTTGGTCTTAAGTTTATTAATGTTGTAACATGCTAGCTTAATCTCTTTTTTCTCTTTTTTTTTATTTTTCTTTTAGTAGTTTTCATCTTGTTCTTATATTTTTAACTTTTTCTTTTTCTTTTTTGTATTTTTCTTCTTCTTAACAAGAAAATTCAATTTCTTTTTTCTCTTTAAAAACCTCTTTTTTATTTCACAAAAATATTTTAATCTCTTTGTCTATATTTATTAGTTTAACTATGGTGCCTTTAGAAGCATTTAGGTTGATTTATCCTATTTTTCTCTTTATCTTCTTCTAGTCTTTTTAATCTTTTTAGTATTTGTTCTAAGATATTTTTGATGTGTGAGGTTTTTTCTTGTGGCTGAGATTGGGTTGTCTTTTTTTTCTTTATCTTCTTATGCTTTTGATTTTTGATCATTAAGTTTTTTCTATGATGCTTTCTGTTTCTGTTATCATTTTTGTTCTTATTGTTTCTTTGTTTACTTTTTTTCTTCAATTATTTTTATATATTTTTTCATCAGAGCTTTCACTATTATAATCTGTTTTCTTATAACTTGTAGTATCACTTTTTTTTTTCTTTCTATATAGTTTGACCAAAATAATAGGTGATTGTTAAATCTTATTGGCTTTGTTAGTAACATACTTATTTTTTTCTCTGTTGCAAATGTTACTAATCCTGATTTTCTCTGATTTTCATTTCTGTTGAATGGAATATATACTAATTTTCTTTTTTTTTCTATAAGCATTGCAATAATAATACTTCTGATGCATTATTTTAAAATTTTAATATTTTTGCTATGAATTGGTTCTATAAATTACATTGGTTGAAGTCTTCTTCACCTATAGTTACTCTTACCAACTAGTGTACACTGATTGGTAAGGACCATTATATGTTTTTCTTATTTATACTTTTTGCTCTAACTACAGCTAAAACTTTATATTTAGATTTTTTAATGCATTTTACTTGAGTTTTTTTAAGATTTCTACACATGTATTCTACTTTTATTGCATTGATGTTTGCTAATAGATCTTATTTTATTAGATATGTATATAATTCTAATTTATCTTCTGCTAAGTACATGTTTTTATTATCTCTTTTTTTACTAATTTTTTTGTGTTCTTTAAATTTATTCTTGTTT